TTTTATTGATTTTTTTTTTTTAGAGAGTATAGAAACATTGATGTGAGAAACACCTATCAGCTTCCTCCTGAACGCCTCCTACTGGGGATCGAGCCCACAACCTGGGCATGTGCCCTGACCAGGAGTTGAACCGAGACCCCTCTGTCCATGGGACGACGCTCAATCCACTGAGCCACAGGGGCCGGGATTCTCACTGCTTTTTAATGCTTCCCTTGTAATAGATTAAATGTAATGTGTGTTCCCAAATTATTGTGCTCAGTGAATTTTTCTAATTATCCTTGTACCATTACTAAGCTGCTTATACAACTAAAGTTTCTTTTTTAAAAAAGTTTTTTTTCCTGTATTGATTTTAGAAAGAGAGGAAGTGAGAGAAATAGAAACACCGATGAGACAGAATATCGATGGGTTGCCTCCTGCATGCCCCCCACTAGGGATTGGGCCCACAACCTGGGCATGTGCCCCAACCGGGAATGGAACTGGCGACCTCTTGGTGCATGGGTCAACGCTCAACCACTGAGCCACACCAGCTGGGCTCTTCTTTTTTAAATCCTCACCCAAGGATATTTTTCCACTAATTTCTAGAGAGAGAAACATTGATATGAGAGAGATACATCTATTGATTGCCTCCTACACGACCTTGACCAGGGCCAGGGATCGAACCTGCAACCTAGATATGTGCCCTTGACCAGGAATCAAAACCAAGACCCTCTGATCCACAGGCTGATGCTCTAACAACTGAGCCAAACAGGCCAAGGCTAACTGAAGCTTCTAATGTGTTTTCAAAAAGATTTCAAAGGTATCTTTTACTAAAGAGCTATAATTATGAAACATATAGTTTTTGAATAAAGGAAAATAATCTACCTTAAAGGGATTTCAGTGTACCTACTACCAGGAGCTTCCAGGGGAGTATCTGTGTCATGATGTGACTATAAATCAAAGAAACCACTGCATGTCCCTCATCATGGATGTGGAGGGTCTGGTAAAGAGCCGGGGCTGAGGTTAGGCTGACAGCCTGGGCTCCCTGAGCTTCTGTCTATTCATCTGTCTGGGCTGAGGGGCCAGAACCACCACAGGGTCAAGAGAAGCTGAGCTGAGCAGATACTTGGTCCATGGAAAGTACTTGCCAAGGTTGTCTGATGTTGTCACTGGCACTGCTAGGACCACCCAGTCAGGAAGGTGAACTCTGTACATAGCACAGGGACGGGCCTGTCTTGCCCAGTGACAGCACAGCTCTGGGATAGGCACTCACCTTGGCACTGTGTGCAGACACGGTGGTTGTGACATATGGGTTCCTATTCTTCTGCAGTAGATCAATGTACACCTCGGCCCCATCCCCTCCATGCACACGCAGCAAGCTGAGCAGCTCATTGACATCGTGGTGAATCCGAAATTCACTCATAGTTTTGGTTCTGAGACAACATCACAATACGTTCTCCTAAAGGTAAGAGGAAAGCTATTTATAAAAACAAAATCCTATTAATAAAAAAACTTTTCAAGTAATTAATTTTGGCCAATGTCAGGTCTTTGAAAAATCAAATCACCATGTGGGCCCCTCATGGACACCACCATAATCACCTCTTGCCAACTATCCACCCCCTGTAGGGCCTATTCCTGGGGTGAGTCCTCCTCTCCCTGCAGGTGGCGCTCCTTGGAAGGGTTTGTCATTTCTCCAGTGGACACACTCCCTTAGGAATTCACAGTTCCAGCCAGTTTCTAGGCATACGCCTCAGCTCAGCTTGGGAGCCTGCAGATACAGACAGCATAGACTTGCAGGCCTGAGCCCTCCTTCAACCTGGGTGACTTCAACCACTCAGGGCCCTGGGCCAGTGGCTGGCAGAGTTTTCTCATCTTAGCTGGGCAGACATTGGTCCTGATGGGGGGTCCTGTATCCATGCATGGAGCTCTATACAGCCTTAAGCTACTGCCCTGCCACAGTATTCAAACCCCAGCTCCAGCCCACGAGGACCACACCTGGTTCTCAAATCCTGCACTGTTCTGGTCTGCGTTCCCTCTGCACTCTGGTACCTAGGACATTTCTGTCTCTTGCCCAAGCTTGGCTATATATGCAGATGCTTCTAGTAAAACTACTACACATTTCCTGTGCATATGAGTTGGGTGGGATTCCACTTCAGCTCAGTCTGCCCTATCAATTAGATGCCCCAGGGTCGCACCATTAGATACAGAACCCTCTGGCATCAAAGCCACAACTGAGATGTCCCCAAGGGGATATTAGCGGCCTGCACAGGGACTTGTTCTCCCACTGATGACTGGTCCAGTTAGCCATCACCAACAGTACTGATAAAAGGGATTGAAGAGACACACAGGGCAGTTAGATATAGATTCAAAAAATAAAGATGAGCAAACTTGCCCTGGTTGGTTTGGCTCAAAGGTTGGAGTGTTGGCCTGAGAACCGAGAAGTCGTGGGTTCAATTCCCAGTCAAGGGCAGGAACCTGGGTTGCAGGTTCAATCCCTAGCCTGTCAGGGTCATGCAGGAGGCAGCCAATTCATGTGTCTCTCTCACACCGATGTCTGTCTGTCTGTCTGTCTCTCTCTGCCTTCTTCCCTCCATTCTACTCTATCTTAAAAAACAAAAAAAAAAAAGGAAAAACATCCTCTGGTGAGGATTAACAAATAAACAAAAAGATGAGCAAACTGACATGCTTCACATAAACATTTCAGTCTACCCACACAAAGTTCTTAATTTCAGATCCATGAACAACAAAAGAACTGTTGAAACCAAAGACAGTCATTTCTGTCTGTGAATTTCCTGAGAGGGTTTTTCCACAGATTCTTAAAAAAGGTTAGGAGCCACTGTGCTGACAGTTGCAGTGAAGACACCACAAGCCGCCCTGGCCGGTTTGGCTCAGTGGTTGGAGCGTTGGCCTGTGGACCAGAGAGTCCTGGGTTCAGTTCCCGCACCAAAAACAAAAAACAAAAAAAACACCACAAGTCAAAGAAAACACCAAGCAGAGATGACCCAGCACACACTCCACAACTAATTACTAATGAATATTCATTGTAACTGTGATCTTTGGGGGATGGAAAACAAGTTCTCTGGATGTAATTACAGTTCACAATGTATAAACATCAAAAACTGGCCAGATGAGTAAGCAGGAGCTGGTGCCTAGGTTGCCAGCACAGGAGCTGCTACAAGAGGCGCTGACAGTAACGACACCAAGGCATGGGGGGTGCAGGGCGCAGCCTGCAGGGCCCAGCTGGGCGTGTCCTCTTCCAGCTCCCTCCAAGGAGGGGTGAGTAGTAACCCTCCCTGAGCTGCTGCGGAGATGAAATACCACAGCTCCTGTAAAGTCTACACAGTAAGTTATTACAAAAGCAGGTCAAACGTTGCTGCTGTTACCACAAAAGGCCAAGCGACTGGAAATGTTCATTTTACCTGAGAATGGCTGGTTTTACAGGAGGACAATTGGATCTGACTCACTGACGCACTAAGTCACTGCCATCTTATTATTCCCAGAAGGCCCTGAACAGGGTGCTGCAAACCAGAGGGAATAGAGAAGACAACACAGAACTTCCCCCTGGCGGCCAGTTTCCCCACATCCCACACAGAAATTCGGACTGTCCTGTAGGGCAAGGACTTTGCCTTTACCACTGAAGCAAACACACCTCCCCCAGACATAAGCAGGTGGAGAGCGATCTGAAGATCATGATTATTTAAGTGAACCTTTATTTTAAAACTATCTTCATGAAACTCACAGACATGTGAGTGCCCACTGCTCTCTTTGGACTTGGAAACAATTCCTGCAAGAATGGGAGCTTCTCACATGCAGGCAGCACCCCTGAGGCACCTCTGGTTGTCATGGTGACTGAAAGGGGCAAGAGGCCAGGATGCTAAATATCCGCAGCATTGGCACTAAATGCAACTCTTGAGGAACATTTAATTGCAGCACCTCACTTGAACTGTGACACTCCAGAGTTCTTTTGTCCATCAGTCACAACAAGGGGACAAACAGACTTCTATGCCAGAGCAAAACCCACATTCTCCTCACAACCGTGATCATGTTGATGGGCAAAGACCTTACTTCACACACATGCAACTAAACACAAAGGGAAGTGAGAGTCCCTGTTGAGCGCTCAAGCTAATTACTCAAACTGGTTTGAAAAACACCTGAAAACTTGTTAAAAAAACAAAACAAAACCCAAACACATCAAGAGCCCTAATGCTTTTTCAGACAGAAAGGTAAAGGGTTAAGTGATAAGAGTCTTGAGTCTGTCCTCTTAGACAGGTCAACGACTGCCTGGAAGTGTGGCCACAACCTTCACTTCCAGAATGACCAAACAATTTTTATTACATGTTTTTAGTTGCTTAAAGAAAAGCACCCCCCTTGCCCATGCACGTATGCATGCACACATCGTGCTCGATGCTAAAACATTCTGAGAGTCCGAGTCCGAGAGCATCTTGTCCACCCTCCACGGTCTCGAGCCTGCGTGGCCTCCTCCGATTTCTGCGCCGTGAGCACCGGGCACGGAGACGGAAAGGCAGGCGGAGCGGGACACGGGACAAGGTGAAGGGGAAGCCACAGAAGGGCTTTAGGCAAAGGCTTCCAATAAAACCCCAGCTTTCCGAGGACCGCTTTGGTGACTGGCTAGGATACGAAGATGACCCAGAGGCCGCTGCAGCCGGAGACAAAGGCCGTGCGGGCGAGGGTACCGGTGGCGGCCGGCAGGGAGGCTGTGAGCCTCTGCCGGAGGGACAGTGCACCACTAGGGTCTGGGAAGGACCTCGACGCCCGCTCCGGGAATGCGCCTCCCCAAAGCACCGCCGAGGTCAGGCCGAGTGCAGGCCCGCCACGCCTGGCCCCTCCGCGCCCGCGCGAACTCACCGCCAGCGCCGCGCCACGGCCCGAGCCAGCCCAACGCGCCGAAACCCGCCGAACAGCCCGCGCCGGAAGCGGAAATCCGGCTCTGCGTCATGTCCGGTCCCGCCCTGCAGCTATTGGACGGTGGCCGACAGGCTGTAGCGACCCCGGCTCGCAGGACGATGCAGCTGCCGCCCGCGCTGCACGCCCGCCTGGCGGCCGGGCCCGGGGCGGCTGAGCCGCTGCCCGTAGAGCGAAACCCCGCAGCCGGGGCCGCGCCCTTCCGCTTTGCGGCGCGCCTGGTGCACTTCCCGCGGGAGCACGAGTTCTTCGAGGTGCGTGAGTCGAGGGAAAGGGGAGTTGCCTAGGGGCGGGGCCCACAGCCGTGGGACCGGAGCCTGTTCGGGGGTCTACGGCTATGGGCGGGGCCTACGTCTCGGCGGGAGGAGGGCAGAGTCTGGGGCGGGGCCTACAGCAGTCGGGGGCGTGGCTAACGCTGGGCGGGCCGTAGCCCGGGTAGGCGGGACCTGTAGTGTGCCCACTGCGTGCGTGTTTTGCAGGACGGGGACGTGCAGCGGCACCTGTACCTGCAGGACCTGTTTACGCGGGTGGCCGTGGAGCCCGAGAAGCCCAGGTGAGCTGCTTTGCGCCCAGCACCGCCTCTTCTCGTCCTCCACCTCGCCCCATTCTCGGGCCTCCAGGTCTGTTCCTCCCTGGTGACCTGTTGCAGCGCCCTCTCCTTGGACAACCGTCCAAGACCCGCTTGTTGGCCCCACCTGGGCCCAGCCAGTGTGGTTCAGTGGTTGAGCTTCGACCCATGCACCAAGAGGTTACCGGTTCGATTCCCAGTAAGGACACATGTCCAGGTTGTGGGCCTGATCCCCCAACATGTTAAAAAATAAATAAAAAGTAAGGGTTGGGCCCTGGCAGGTTGGCTCACTTGTTTAGAGTGTTGTCTCTATGTGCCATGGTTGTGAGGAACCTGGTTAGGGCACATACAAGAATCATCCAACGAATGCATGATTAAGCGCAACAATAAATCAGTGTTTCTGTCTCTTCCTCTAAATCAATCAATCAAAATTTGGGGGGAAAAAAAAACAAAACAGTAAAATTTGGAATTGCAAAAGAAACATCCAGAGATTTATCAGGCCACTTAAAGGGAAGTTGTCGACAGCCTAACATTCTTTGTCAGCAGTGGTTTCGTTTGCCAGGGTGCCCGAGTTCACCTGTCAGGTGGCAGGCTGCTGCCAGGTATTCGACACCTTGGAGGACTATGAGCACCACTACCACACTCTACACAGAAACATGTGCTCGTTTTGCAAGCGGGCCTTCCCCTCGGGACACCTGCTGGACATCCACATCCTGGAGTGGCACGATTCCTTGTTCCAGATCCTGTCTGAGAGGCAGGACATGGTGGGTGACACAGTCATTTCGGGGCTTGGACTGGAGTTGTCTGCCTAAGAGAGAGCTCCCAGCCTTCAGGTGGGGCAGGGCCAGGGGCACCTTCCCTCCCCTGGCCCCCAGCCCTGTGGACGGAGGGGACATCATTTCCATTTCAGTATCAGTGCTTGGTGGAAGGCTGCACAGAGAAGTTCAAGACCAGCAAAGACAGGAAGGATCACTTGGTGAGATGTCACCTGTACCCTGCGGACTTCCGGTTTGATAAACCAAAGAAAAGCAGAGGGTACGTGTGGCCACCCCTGGAATTCAGAAAAGCCCTTTGAGTATATAGACACTGTAGGTCAGCACCCGTGTCACTTAACTGTCATGTTTAGCTGCAGGAAACCCTGGCAAGTCAGACTTTTTACCATAGTGGTTAAATAAATAAGGGCCTGTTGCATGCAGCCACCCTGTTGGAGGGAGGACAGGAAGGGACAGCCTTTGCAGAGAATCACTGGGGTGCCATCACAGTGTCTTTCCTGGGGTGTTTAAGACATCACCATATTTGTCTGTATTCACATCTCAACGAGGTTGTACCTGATCTTAGCTCCACTCACACATCACCTGCTATGTGGGCCTCTGGGAATTTGTCCCAGCCCATGATCTTCCCCTCATGTGGGGTCCTCTGGCTTTTCAGTTCTTGGTATGTTGACAAATTTGACAACAGCCATTTATTACACATGATTGTTTAGAATGCACTGTGGGAAGATATCTCTGGGAAAAATTCTTAAATTTGTGTTATATTTTTTTGCCTGTTTTTTTTTTTTTTTTTTTTTTTTAATGATTCTTTCAGATGATTCTTCATAACCATCTAAAACTTGCGTTGAAAGTTGTATTTTCAGACAAATTTGTTTTCCCTTGGCAGGACTTTGCTGTTTAAAATAATTGAGAGAATCCCCTGGAGTGTGGGAAATTTTTTTTTATTTTTATTATTATTATTTTTTATCCTCACTCGAGGACTTTTTTTTTTTTTCTTTTTTGTGGTATGTGCCCCTAGCAGGAACCAAACCCGGGACTCTGGTCCACAGGCTGACGCTCAACCGTTTGGCCAAGGCCATTTTTCCATTTTTTATTCAGATAGAGCAGGAGGGGGAGGGAGGAAGAAAGAGAGAAAGATCGACATGAAAGGGACACATCAAGTGGCTGCCACCCACACCACCCACACGACCCTACCAGGGCTGGGAACAAACTGCAACCGAAGTACATGCCCTTAGCGGGAACCAAACCCTGGTCTCTCTGGACTGCAGGCTGACGCTCTAACTGCTGAGCTAAAGCGGCCAGGGCAGTGTGGGAAATTTTTATAAGGCTTTGAGTATGAAGGAACTCCCTCCTTCCTATGGGGTCATTGTAAGAGAAAAACTCTACAATACTGGGTTAAGACACTGGTATTTGGAAGGAGATTCTTGATACTATACAGTTAATTTTAATACATATTTCTTTGATTGTTGTGAAAAGACGTTTGACACTTTTTGTTGGCTTTTACTGCATGGCACCATAAAAATACATTTTCTAAAGGCAAAGTGTAACTGTTATACCTAAATTTATAAAACATGGCATTTATCATAACATTCACTTATGACCTTGCCATAATCATTCTTATTCTGGCAGCCTAAAAATTACACAATGCCAAAATAGTTATAAAATATTTTTGCAGGGAAAAAAGTCTGTTCCTGATGAGTTCATTTCTGGAGTAGAGGGGGCTGCAGCCATCACTGTGTGGAACCCTGCTCACCCCTCTGCTTTCCACAGCCCAGCCACTCCTATAGCCACCCTGCAAGTGCCGGCAGATGCCCTGGGGGATGACAGGGAGCAGTCCGAAGGAGACGCCATGGAAGTCTGCTCTGAACACGTGGCGCCCCGCACAGAGCCCATGGCTGAGAGGCCGACCTACAGCCACAGGTCAGTAGTTGGCATCTCTGAGGTTCAGAACATGTGCTTTAGGGGGAGAATTCTGGGTTTGACCCTGGGAAAAACTGATGCTGGCTGGCTCCGTGTGGGCTTAAGCGAGAGATGGGAATCTGTTGTTGCAGTTCACAAGGATGATTTAGTGTCTCGCCCACTCTGCTGTTGTAAGCCCTGCAGCTCTGAAATGCAGAGCACTGCCTCCTTTTTTCTGGGTAGAGAGAATCTCAGTTGAAATTGCTTAAGTTACAATCTGAGTATGTCTTTCTAGTATTAACTGCATTTTTATTAAGTTAAATTTGAGTTCAAATCTAATTTTGGGAAAAATGTTGGACAAATGAAAAAAATTTCCAATGAATCCAAGCTGACAGCAAAGAGGACTCATGTCCCTCAGCTGCCTTCGCGCAGCTGTCTGGACTTTGGCCAGCAAGTGAGTCTAGATGCCAGTGGGCAGTTAGGGTTTCAGTGCAGAGAGGGTGACAGGAAGTCAGCTCTGGGGAGCTTGGCAGGAGCCAGTCCCCACAGGAAGCAGGTCAGAGGCACTGGCCAGGGGCAGAAGGGAGCTGTCCCAGGGCCCCGGGGCAGAGTCTGCAGGAAGGAAGAGCCGCCATCAGGAATGTTCCACGAGTGAAGGAGCATTCTGGAACAAGAAGAAAATCAGCCCAAGACTGCTTTTAGGAATTGGACTGTTTGTTGGTACAAGGTATGATTCTTTAATATGAAGATTTTTTTCCATTTCAGAATACCTTCCACCATCTGTTTTGGCCAAGGTGTATCTCGAGGATTTAAAAGCACCAAGAAAAGAAGTAAGCACCAGTAACGACTGAGCCAGAGAGACACTCGGGCCTGTGAGCAGCCCCCAAGGTGGCATAGGTGCCTTCTGAGGACATGGTGTCACTGTTGAGCTTTGTCTCACCTTCTCGTTTGGACACCCCAGGACCCGGCCTTTGCCACCCTCCATGTCTCGGACCACGGATTTAGGGAGTGTTCCTGACACGTGCTCCAGCCCACCTCCCTCTGTAGGGGCCATCCTACTAATGTCCTTTATAAAGCAAATAGTTTTCATTAATGGTCTCTAGTCATTTCCATATTGTTGAACTAAACAGGGAAATGAGCGGTAATTACATTTGAGCATTTTGCTTTTATTGTTCAGTTTTCAGAAAGACTTACTTATTTTATTATTTTTTTATCCTCATCTGAGGGTGTCTTTTTATTGATATTAGAGAAAGGAAGGGAGAGAGAGAGTGAGAAAGAGAAAGAAACATCAACTGGGGATTAAACCTGTAGCCTTTTGGTGTATGGGGACGATGTTCCAACCAACCGAGCCACCTGGCCACCGTGATTTCAAGAAGAGATGTGAAGTCTTGGCACCTGTGGTGGGGTGAGTGGGCAGGATGCTATCAGTGAGAGCTCGTGCCTGTTTGAAAGATTCTGGGTTATTTCCCCCTGAACTCTGAGCAAACTTCACTTGGGGGGTGGTGACAGAGGACTCACAGGTAGCACCTGGGTCAGAGCAGTCAGTGCTGGGGCGAGGGGTGCCAACTGGGGCGGCCTCTCCAAAAAAGGACAGCAACAGGCCGAGGTAAGGGGCTGGCACCAGAGCTCGAGTGCCTGGCTGGTGTCTTCTGGCAGAAACAGCAGAGTCTGCCGTCCGCATCGATGGCCACCAGGTAGCTAACGGAGCGAGCACACTGCAGAAGCATGCAGAGCCATGGCAGGGAGAAGCAGGTTTGGGCAGGTGTGTGGACACAAGACCTATGCTGGAGGCAGAATGTGGACAAAAACAATGGATCAGCTCTGTTTGGATCAAATAAGGGCTTTTGGGCCAGGCCTGGGAGAGTGGGGACCGACCATCTGTAGGGCCTCCCTCCAGAGGCCTTGTCTCTAGCAGGCGGGCGCCTGGGGAGCTTTCATGCTGGCTATGCCAGCCTGGGCCCCGTTGCCCCAGCAGGAGGAGGATTCCCCCTCCCAGGTCACTTCCAACCACTCTTGTCCTGGGTTCAGGATTTGGCTGGAGGCGGCTGCTGTTACCTGTGACTCCTGGCGCAAAGGCTGCTGCCCAGTTCTGACAGCCACACCCAAAGCCCTTGGAGACCTGGAGGGAGTCTCTGATGGTTTCACATCACACAGAAGCTTCGTGCACTAGACACTCTTGGTGAATCACCAGGTACTCAAAAAAGTTAAAACCTGAAGTACAGGTCCTAGTAGGCTGAAGAGAGACCTAATGAACACTTTTCTGGATAGACAACGGCCAGTCTTTGCTGAGGGGGTCCAGGGTCCTGTCATAAAGAGGCTAACATGCAGAAACCCTGTTCGTCTGTCTCTCAGAGACCTTTCCTCTTGTAACTCTTGTGCATTCTGTGCAACACAAGCTCCCTGCCTGAGCACACTGGCCTTCTTACAAGAGCACATTCTCCTAAAATTCTCTCGTCCGCACTGTAGCCACCACATAGGGCTGTCAGTTCTAGGTTCCAATCCTAGCTTCACCCTACCTAAAAGCTGCCTGTTTTGTTTTGTATTTTTATCCTTCTGAAAAATGGAATATAAAACTTCAGTGTGAGGAATAAAAAAGACTATTAGCATAATTCTGAGGAAATGCTTATACAATCATTCCTTGTTTATTGCAGTTAATCTGTTCCAGACTCTAGCGGTTGCTCCTGGTGTTGAAGGATTCCTGGGGTGCTCGAATACATAGGCCTACAGTCCATACGTTCAGTAATTTTAATTGTAATTGTAATACAGGGGTGTATAACTCAGACAACAGAGCACACACTGTATTATTTTCACTGTCTCAATCAACTTTTTTTTTTTTTATCCTCACCCGAGGATATTTTTCCATTTTTTGTACAGATAGAGTGGGAGGGAGGGAGAGGATGGGAGAGAGAGAGAGAAACATCGACGTGAAGGGACACATCGAGTGGCTGCCACCCGCACGACCAACCAGGGCCTGGGACAAACTGCAACCAAGGTACATGCCCTTAGCGGGAACCTAACCCGGGTCTCTCCGGACCGCAGGCCGACGCTCTAACCGCTGAGCCAAACTGGCCAGGGCTCAATCAACTTTTTAATGAATATATTTGAAAACGCAATAGAGGGAAGTGAAAGTTGAAGTGCGAAGTGGTGAGGCATGACTGTATTTTTTTTCTTCATTCTCATTCGAGGATGTTTTTATTGATTTTTGATTTTTTTTTTAATCCTCACCCGAGGACACTTTTACATTAATCTTCAGATAGAGCTGGAGGGAGATAGAGAGGAAGAGAGAGAGAGAGACATTGATGTGAGTGAGATACATCAACTGGTTGCCACCCACACAACCTCAACCCGGGCTGGGGATAAACTGCAACCGAGGTACATGCCCTGACCGGGAATCAAACCTGGAACCTTTGTTGAAGGGGTCAACCCTAAACCAGTTGAGCCACCCAGCTAGGATGAGACCCTTATATTTCTGCTGCAAAGTCAGAGCGTGGTTTCTGGGTCACTGTCAAGGGGAGACAAGCAATGGCAGCATTTGCAAGAAGAAGAGGAGCTCATCTGCAGATGCACAGGGGCCAGAGCTCAAGACTGGCTGCCAAATGCCAACAGCACTCAGGTCACTGAGTCTGCGTCAGTCTGCTTAGGGTGGAAAACGCAATGATGGCACTTAGGTTTACATGAAACATCCAGCATTTTATTATGTAGGTGACCAGAACCTGTTGGGGTGGCCAGTTTTTTCTAACTGGCGTGTGAAGTCACATCAGGAGCAGGGCACAGCACAGCGTCAGTCTTCTCTGTCACACAGTGAGGTGCTCAATTCCAGCAGCAGGTCTGCGTCCCTCAGTCACACTCAGACCTCGCCAGGCTGGTTCCTGCTCATCCTCCAAACTCGGTGCCCCTCGTCTTGCCTCTTTGTTTCTCCCTTTTTGTGCCTTATTTCAGATGGAGTGAGCTTTTCTTGTTCTGTTACTTGGGAAGTTAGACATTCTCTAGTATAATAATACTTCAGTAGTTATCCGCAAACTTTTTAATATAAATACTTAATTTGGCCCTAGCCAGTGTGGCTTAGCTGTTTGGATGTCGTCCTGTGTACCGAAAGGTCACTGGTTCGATTCCCACTCAGAGCACATTGCCCGGATTACGGGCTGGATCCTCCTCAGTGGGGGCATGCAGGAGGCAGCTGATTGATGTCTCTCGTTGATATTTCTGTCTCTCCCTCTCCCTTCTTTCTCTAAAAATGAATAAAAATATTTTTAGCCCTGGCCGGTTTGGCTCAGCAGTTAGAGCGTCGGCCTGCGGTCCTGAGAGACCTGGGTTCGGTTCCCGCTAAGGGCACGTACCTCGGTTGCAGTTTGTCCCCGGCCCTGGTCGGTTGTGCGGTGGCAGCCACTCGATGTGTTCCTTTCACATCGATGTTTCTCTCTCTCTCTCCCACTCTACCTGAACAAAAAAATGGGAAAATGTCCTCGGGTGAGGATTAAAAAATATATATATATTTTTTAAAACACTTAATTTGTGCCCAGCTAGTGTGGTTAAATGGTTGAGTGTCGACCCATGCACCAAGAGGTTGCAGTTTGATTCCCTGTTGAGGGCAAATGCCCAGGTTGTGGGCCAAATCCCCAGTTTGGGGCATACAGGAGGCGGCCAGTCGATGTTCTCTCTCATTGATGTTTCTGTCTCTCTCCTTTCTTTTCTCTAAAGTCAATAAAAAAATTTTTTTAAATACTTAATTTGCTCAGTCTAAGATTAATCACTATCTTTTCCCTTTCCCCAACAGAACAAGGATTGTGGACACTCAAACTTCACCCTCCTGTGCCATGTACTATATTAGAGTCGTCTACTGTCCTCTAGGCCTGTGTGCTCCCACAGGACATCCGTGCTATGGTTCTTGTTTTTGCATTTATCCTCAGATAGAGCCGGGGGAGTGGGGTGCAGAAACATCGATGTGAGAGACCACTGACTGGTTGCCACCCACAGGACCCCAACCGGGGCCGGGGACCAACTGCAACCGAGGTACGTGCCCTTAGCGGGAACCGAACCCCCATCTCTCTGGACCACAGGCCAACTCTCCAAACGCTGAGCCAAACTGGCCAGGGCGGGCCATATGTTCTTGTTCTTTTTTTAATTTATTTTTTATCCTCACCCAAGGACATTTTTTTCCATTTTTTGTTCAGATAGAGTGGGAGGGAGATCGAGGGGGAGAGAAAGAGAGAGAGAAAAATGGACATGAAAGGGACACATCGAGTGGCTGCCACCCACACAACCAACCAGGGCCGGGGACAAACTGCAGCCGAGGTACGCGCCCTTAGTGGGAACCAAACCCAGGTCTCTCTGGACCGCAGGCCGACGCTCTAACCGCTGAGCTAAACCGGCCAGGGCTTTTTTTTTTTTCATCTATGATTTCCAGAGAGATTATTTATTTATTTATTTATTCTTTATTGATTTTAGAGAGGAAGGAAGGGAGAGGGAGAGAGAGAAACATCGATGAGAGAGAGCATTGTTTGGCCACCTCCTACATGCCCCCCACTGGGAATGGGCCCACACCCTGGACATGTGCCCTCAGCAGGAATCGAACCGGTGACCTCTTGGTGCATGGGTCGATGCTCAACCACTGAGCCACACCAGCCAGGCTCTTGTTCTTGAAAGATGTTTTTGCTGGGAATACAGTACTTGGCTTTTCCCCCTAAGCATGTTGAACATATTCCACTGCTCTGGCTTTCAAATTGTCACTGAGAACTCAGTTGTCATTCTGGGATTTTTTTTTCCCCACATGAATTCTATTTTTTAAAATCATTTTTTAGCTTTCAGTTACAGTTCACGTACAATATTATATTAGTTTCAGATGTATACCCCAGTGATTAGACATTATATAACTGACTGAAGTTCATTTTGATAAATCTAGTACCATCTGACACGATACATAGTTATTAGAATATTATTAACTATATTCCCTATTTAGAAGACAGTCTTTGTCTTTGGTGTTCCACTCAAGTATGTTGATGAAGATACATATCTATCTGGTTGCTCTTCATTGAGTTTTTTGAACCTAGGGTTTTTATCTCTTAAAATATTGCCTCTACCCTATTCTGTTCCTCCTTCTAAATCTCCAACTAAATGTGTGTTAGACATTGTTACTCTATCCTCCATGTTTCTTAGCAGCTCTTTTGTATTTTCCATTCCTTCTCTGTCTTTGCTACATTTTAGATAATTTCTTCAGATCTTCTTTTCAGTTCATTAATTTTCTTATCAGCTGGATCAAATGTGTCACTGGAGGCTCTAGCCAGGCCAGTAAGACAAGAACCAGAGATAAGAAGTGTGTGCCACTGTGCTTAGTTTCAGCTTTATTTAACAGAAAACCTAGACAAGGCTTAATGAGGCCTCTGCAGCCTTCTGCAGCCAGGGCCCTACCTCTGGGTGTGGCACTCACCAACCAAGATGTAAAAATGGGCTCACTGGGGTCAGGCATGAGAAATTTCAAAGTACAACCTGGAAAAAAAACACTCCTTGAATGTTTAAAGGAATAATGTATTGTTTGGTGTGGTTTTTAAAAACACATGCTTTGTGTCTGGCCAGGTTGTTGGGTTTGTTAGAGTGTAGTCCCGATACGCTAAGGTTGCAGGTTCAATCTTCAGTCAGGGCACATACAAGAAAACAACCAATGAATGTATAAGTAAGTGGAACAACAAATTGGTGTTTCTCTCTCCCCCTTCCTCTCTCTCTCTCTCTCTAAAATCAATAGATAAAATTAAATATACACACACACACACACACACACACATCATACATGCTGATTCTGTTTCCTTCCACATTTTATCACCTCTGAAATTTAGCATCTTAACACGACTGGCCATGTCAGCTTAATTTACCACATGATTATTTTTCTTAATGGTCTAATTGATGGAAATACAGCATACAGTGCAGAATATCAGAAATAACAAAAACTGTATTTTGGTAAATTAGACAATACTAAAAGTTAAAATGAAAGTACCAGAACTTTAAGCATCTCGATAGTGTTATGTATCATCATGCCAAGAAAGCACAGTGTTGCCCAGTAATCCAGAAACACTTTCTGAGAGCACACACAGATTTGGGACTTGGTGGTGTGGGGACATGGGGGCCAGGAGAGAACCGGGGACATGGGAATGGGGTTCATCCACTCAGTCTATCGGGACAAAGTGCTGCCCTGTAGAGTTTTCTCGTTATAAAGTATTTCACACATACAAAAACATTTGCAGAATCACATGTCCTGGTAGGGAGAGTATCACAGTCCCACCACCCAGTGTAAGAAGTCCCCAGTGTTGCATTTTTAGGAGTTGCATTGGGAATTCTCTACCTTCCAGGAAACTGCTGCTTTGTGATCATTCAAGATCTACAGTCAGGCCCTAGCCACTTTGGGTCAGCTGTTAGCGCATTGGCCCGTGGACTAGAGGGTCTCAGTTCAATTCCCAGTCAAGGGCACATACCTGGATTGCAGGTTCGATCCCTGGCCCTGGTTGGGGTTGCGCAGGAGGCAACCAATCAATGTATCTCTCTCACATGGATGTTTCTCTTTCTCCCTTTCTCCCTTCCCCTCTATCTAAAAATGAATGGAAAAAAATATCCTTGGGTGAAGATTAACAAAAATAAGATCTACAGTCAGATTTTGGAAGTCTGACCCTCCAGAAATACTGAAACAGGACTGACCTGGCCCCATCCTCTGAGTGGTCCACAGGCAAAGGACCTATGGCCTGGGATCCACCCTGGGATGGACCAAAAACAGCACCCAGACACAGGAGGCAAGGCTGGTGCAGGTGGCTGGCAGGGGCTCTGAGAGCTGACTGTGCCAGGAAGGAACCCAGGGTCCCAACCTGATCCTCCCCCAGGGAACCAGAGTGAATGAGCCCTACTTCCTTCACTGAGGTGACACTGATGTAGGAGCCTCAGGGAGGTCTCCCAGGGCTTGAGTGGAATTCTGGTCACCCAGACCAGTGAGGCCTATTTGTCATTTAATGAGACTGATTAAGATACCCAATCTTTGCAAGTGGGTCAGTCTGGGGTCCTCCGTGGTCCCACCCTCCCCACTTTGACTCTACCCAGGGTCACCCACACTGCACACCATTGCACAACTCAGCCCACTCCTAGTCCCCAGAGCAAGTGGTGCCAGTACCCCCATAGGTGTGGTCTGCCCTGAACTTCTCTCCAGTCCCCCTTGTCCAGGTGTCTCCAAATCCACCAGCAGCAGATGATAGGACATTTACAGGGAAGGGGGGCCAGGACTCAGGTTCAGGGTGTCAGTCCTCTGATGAGGGGTGACAGGCCCTGGGCTGCTCTGCAGGGTTGTGACAGGTGAATGGCTTTAGGGCTCACGGCAGCCTCAGGGCCTCAGAGACCTTCCACACTCGCTAAAGGAGGTGTCTGGCAGGCTTCACAGCCCCGGGGTCTGGCCCAGGACATTTAGGGACCCAGGTCCTCTGAGAGACAGACAGTATAAGTCCAGGAGAAAGGCAGCCCTTTGGAACAGCAAGAGAGTCCAGGTCTTGACAAGTTTGCTTCAGCCCAGCCCAGCAACAAGGGTGCTCAGCTGGGGGCTCGTACATGTCTGGGCCACAGGTCTCACTCACCCTTAGGTGGTAGACTGGCTCCTTGAGGGTACCTGGACATGGAGCTTCCCACTGTTGGTCAGAAACGGTTGATTCAGCAAATTCCTCCACCAGCCTTAGCTGCTCTGTGCTGTAGGGACCAGGCAACACTGCAGGGACACAAGAGGCCTGAGGGGTGCAGACCCCTGCTCCATTGCCTCAGTACAGAGCAGGGGGAGCCAGGGGGTGCTGCACAGGGCGCTCCTTTTCCTCTTGTGCTGGTGTCACCTTTGCTTGGGATTGTCTCATAGATCATGACAATTCCCAAACTATTCGCAAAGTGAGTACTGTCTTGGCCTAGAACTTGGACCTGACTTTCCAATGGGCATCTTTCAAGAACCTCAGATGTAAGAAGAGGATCAAAGTACTGAGTGGCCTTAAAAAGCAACAGCTGCGCTCTGTTCAGGTTTGGTTGTGGGTCATGGCTCAGCCTCTCTCGAGATCCCTTTGTGTCACAGACCCATTGCCTTCTCTGGTCTGTCCCCTTGAAGACCCTGACTGCAGTTGGGCTCCGAATTTAAACAGCATAGTTCAGGCCCCGTGGGTACACACCTGGGAGGGATGGGCAGCTTGAGATGTGAGGATGCCTCTCATTACCACCTTTCATTTCCAACAGCTTCTACTTCAAGAATTGAATTAGTTTCCATTTAAAATCCGTCGTGAATTTTCATTTTCCAGGAAACACAGGGAGAATGATGGCTAGTAATAGGAAATTGAATGCAATATCATCACTTCAGGGAATTCTCCATAGCTGTTTCCTGTGGGGTAGCACCTCAGCGGCCCCGAGTAAAATCTGGGCGACGGACCCAGCCAGCGCCACCGACCTGCGGCCTGTGGAGAAAGAGGGTCTTGGAGTCCCCTTGCTATGATCACCTTCGGGTCCTGGTTGCAGCTCAGAGGCAGAGTGAAGGCCGGGAGGGGGCTGCCCACAGCCGGGATCAGGCTGAATGGGGCTTCCATCTGCCCCAGACACCTTGACGGTCGCAGTCTGAGCCCAGTGGGAGAAGCTTCGGGAAGGGTGCGGCCGTCGCCTTCCTCACTCCGGGCCTGGAGACTGGATTCCTGAATTGACAGCGTGTTGCAAAGCAGCAGAGCAGGATGACCAGCAGGTTCCTGGCCATCCTGGCCAAGTTAGACAATTCCATTTGGTCGGAGCCTGAGCTCTGGCCTCCTGCTGGCGCGCCAGCAACTCCTCCTCCTGTTCCCCAGCCCCGCACCGAGCTGGGTTCCCGCGGGAGCTGGGCTGGCGCGGCCCGCGATGGGCACCGCCCACCCTGCTCCCCACGCCCAGCCGCGGCTCCGCGGCCATCCGGCCTCCCCGCGTGGATACCCCCCCACACACATCCCACATCCTCACACACAGACACCCCCCCCCACTGGCAGCATCTCGCCCCGGGCTCCCCGGTATTCTCTAGTAAAATAATAATGCGGGGGAAATCCCTAAAATAAGCGTTAGTTTCCATTCTGCCAGACGGTAAACACCTAGTTAGTAACAGGTGTGTTTCATTTCAGCAGTCCTGGCACCAAACTCTTTTCACTTCTTTGTTCGTGAATCAGTTTCTTGCCGCCCCAGACAGTCTGGCAAATCCTTTTGACTGAAGACGGTTACCGAAGCAAGGGCGTCAGAGGGACGTCCCACAGGTAAGCTTCAGAATACTTTATTGGCTGCCTTGTACAAAATAGGAAGCTCTATCCCGGCCCATTTCGAGGACACTGTATTAAACTATTCAGAGACGTTTGTCTAGTAGGACCATGATTTTTTAAAAAGTTTTTAAATATCTGTAAGATACCCACAAATAGGCTTGACGCATCAATGATAACATTGTATCAACAACAAAAACCAAAATAAACATCCTGAAAAAAAAAAAAAAAAAAAGACCGACGGGACTCAGGGAGTTGACCGGAGCATCAGTTTCCGCGCGAGGATCGGTGCGCGGCCCGGGCGAAGCTCGCCCGCAGGACCCATCTCCCTGCCCTGCGGGCACCCTCCCTGGCGGACCCTCAGGCCACCACCTGGCAAAGCGTGAGTCCAAGTCTTCTAGGAGAGGTAATACACGCCGTAGGCGGTGATGGGCGCGGCGAGGAGTCCCGGCACCGGCGGCAGGGTGCCCGTGGCACCGCCATAAGCGCTCGGGGAGCCTTGCAGGTGGGTGCCCAGGGGGAAGGGCAGGGCGAACGCGGGCAGCATTGGCTTGGCCGCCAGCTTCAGCTTCTCCAGCTCGGCCTCCTGCAGCCGCTTGGCCTTGGCTCGGCGGTTCTGAAACCAGATCTTCACCTGCGTCTCGGTGAGGCTCAGGCTGCTGGAGAACTCGGCGCGCTCAGCGATGGACAGGTACTGCTTCTGGCCGAACTTGCGCTCCAGCGCCAGCAGCTGCGCGGTGGTGAAGGGCGTCCTCGGCTTGCGGTTGTTCTTGTGTTTCCGGAGGGTGCAGGGCGGAGGACTGGGGGCGCCTGGGAGGAAAGAGAAGCACACGTTGGGCATTCAGACGCCAGCCGTGCGCTCCCCTTTCCGACACTCCCGGATTCCCTTCCCGGCTCCGTGCTCGCCCTCAGAGGAGACGAAACCCCAAATGCCACAAGGGGTAAGAGAAGCAAGGCACCGGGGAGATGGTGCGGGTAGGGGCGGGCCGCTGGGGACTCGGCTCTGCTTCCCAAATCCGCGGCCCCGCACCCCAGGGTGGAGGGGAACTCTGCCCACTTGGAGGATCGAGAAGCTTGGGCTGGAGGCCGCCGCAAGAACTGAGCACTAAGTGCAGAGGTGAGGACTTGGCAAAGCGGAGGTTCCCCGGGACAGGGGCGCGCCAAGAAGCCGCGGGGCCTTGGGGTGCCGACTCGGCTCCCAGGTAGAGCGGAAGCCTGGTTGAGTGGGACACCGGGGCGGTTGCGAAGCTTGCGCGCGCCCTAGGGCTCGGGTGGGCTGGCTTCTTTCTTCGTATTAAGGCAGGGCGGTTAGTGGCTGGTTACTTTCCAAAGTTACGAGCGACAGTTCCCCTCCCGCCCTGGTCCTCCGAGCTTGCACCAGGCGGGCTCTCTCTCAGCCCGGGGCCATGCGACGGGGCACTTACGTGGGGAGGACGAGCGGGCGGCCGGCGAGAACCAGGCTCGGGTCTCCGCGGCGCCCCGCGGCCACTCCTCCCGGGGCTCCGCGGGCTCCGGGCCCAACCGGTGCTGCGCCTCCAACAGCGATTCAACACTGAAGGGCAGTGGGCCGGGCCCCACGCGGTCCCCGCCACATGTCCTGAGCCCAGAGGAGTTCATGACGAGAGACGCCGGGGCCATGCGCGAGCCGGCGGGCGCGGGGCTTGCGGGGCCCGGCAGGCGCGATGTAGGGACAGAATGTCTTGCGACTGCCCGGGACTTGGACGCGACCCCACCCTCCGTGCCCTATAAAAAGGCGGTGTCTCTTTCATGAGCCGCTGTCCAATCGCCTCGACCGCTCTTACAGGGGCCCAGGCGTCCATTGGTTTTGCTGACCCGGGGGCGGAATGGATGGGGAGGGGCGGGGCCGCCGCCGGGCACCCCTGCAGCCATCCGGTGCGGGAGCCCTCCTGGCGCGCCCAGCATTTGCCGCCCTCTCCCCGAGCGCTGCGGGCCTGGCCCACGCTCCTCCTGTCCGGGAGGCTGCTGGGACACCCCGGGAGCAGGCGGAGCTGGACCCAGCCTCCCCACACCGAGGAGCCAACGTAGGGCGCGGCCTGGAGACATCGTGGTCAGAGCACCGGCCCCTGATCGTGCGCGCGCGGATCTGCGCAGCGAGGAGCTCGACGCCGGGAGCCTCCCGCCCTGTTGTCCCTTGGTCGCTCGCCGGCTGTTCTTCCTGCTGCGCCCCAACCCCGTGCCGGAACCGTCGGCACATGCCTGCTTTGGTCCAGGCGCTCTCTCTGAACCCTGGGGGCCCATTTGACGGACCCCGCACTGGAAACTGGGCTTCCAACAACTTGAAGTAGGGCCGTGGTGCCCTGGGCCCTGAGTGGCTTTTCATGCACCTGTAGCTGCAGAGCGTCCTCTGGGGCAGGGGCCGCCGCTCCCACTGCCTGGGTGTCTCGTGGCCGGGTTCTAGGAGCAACCAGTCCGGGCTTCGGGGAAGGCAACGGGTTCCGGCCACCTTGCCGCCTCAGACGCAGGGCTTGGGACACAGGAGAGGCGACTCAGGTGGCTCCTGGCCAGAAATGCGGAGTTTGTCGCTGGTGTTAGGGTTCACCGCTCTGCACTTGTTGCGGAAAACCGTCGTGGGACCCGGGACTTGGGAAAACCCCGCCGTCAGGGGCCTCGGGTGGCGCGGGCTTGTTCCGGAGGCACCCGCGGACTCAGGCGGGATCCCCACCCCAGGCTCCAAAGAGCCGAGACCTGTGCTTACTTGGATTCTTTTTTCCAAAACTGGACCAATCTTTGGTTTAAAACCTTCCTGGGTGCAGCAGACCAGGCGCCGCGCGGAAGGCTCTCCTTGAGTTTTAGAATAAATCATGAGATTGGTTTGCGGGTAACGACTTAAGGTCTTGTTAATATCCCAGAACACAGAAACAGAAACCTAAATCGATTTATATTTATTTTTGAACAACTAAAGTTGCTTTAATGAGATCCAGCTTTTGGGGACAGTTTAACCGTCCAGCTCAGCCAGAAAAATTTAATTAGAAAGTTTTTTCTCTATTCAAATTTAGAAGCAAGGCTGAAAGGGGCCCTCCGACTGGCTCCAGGGCCAGGCCTGGTGTCTGCTGTGGGATCAGCTCTTTCTATATTCCAAGATGGATTGCCCCTTACTAATGTAATAAAGATGTTCTGAGTTGATTGAAGATAATTGCATCATTAAAGCATTTTCTTTGAAGGTCTCTCTCCTGGTAGTTTATCTTCAGCAGGCCACTCACGGGAGTGTTTGAAGAAGAATTTTAATAAGGATGACAGCCAGCTGCCCCAGCCTGCCCCACATCCGCTCAGGACCCTGGGAAGGTGGTGTCTGGGAGCCTGAGCTGTGGCCTGGCTGGCAAGGGGGAAGAATGGAGTGTCAGGGCAAGGCATGGGTGCCAACCTTTCTTGCCCTTCCTTTTGGTGTCTGAATTAGTGTCTGACCCTCCTGCAGAGAGTAAACTTGGGCCAGTGCTGACCATGGCACCAGCAGGGGGACAGAGGAGAGAGGAAGGATGCAGGTGAGCCCGGCGGACGAGATGTTGACCATGAGAACTCAGACCAATGCTCAGCACAGTCTCACTTCTGTCACATGGTGATGTGGTGACTTTGGGCTCAGAAATCTGTGTCCCGTGTGTAAAGGGAGCCTAGACACTGTCCCTGGCCACCAGGTGGGATGAAGATACCTGTAGGCACTTGGCCTTGGGGCTCAAGAGCAGGCCAGCCAGGTGTGTTGGTGGACAGGAGGCTGGGCACAGCTGGTCCTTCTTTTTTGTTTTGTTAATCCTCACCGCAGGATATTTTTCCTATTGATTTATAGAGAGAGTGGAAGGGAGGGAGGGAGGGGGAGAGAGAGAGAGGGTGAGATGTGAGAGAGACACATCAATTGGTTGCCTCCCGCATGGCCAGGGATCCAACCTGCAACCCAGGTACATGTCTTTGACTGGGAATCAAACCCACAACCCTTCATTGCATAGGCCAACGCTCTCACCACTGACCCACACCAGCCAGGGCAGCTGTTTTTTCTTGAGATTGTTAGATGCTGAAGCCAGTACTCCCCATCCCCACCCCAGGTGTGCCCCTGAAATGATGGCAGAACCCTGAAGACTACCCTGCTCACCCCACACATTAGCAGATACTGCCCCAGTGTGAGTGGCATTATTTCCCACAATGACCTGCTCTTTGCTCTGAGTCATGAGGGGACAGAAGGTCAAGCAAAGCCCCGACATTTATCTTCCCTGTGCCTCTTTTTGGTGCTGTCTTTGTAGGGTATGTACACACCTTTCACTTTCAGAAAAAGTTTCAGGATCTGGGCCAGAACCCCAATTTCTCTCATGTCCTCTTAATCTTCTCTTTACATCGCCGGGGCTTGGGCCTGTCTCCTGACTGAGACAGTGCTGCTCCTCAGCCACTTCTTCATCCATGCAGCAACTGGTCAGCCCTGCATGGGGCCCAGGTAAGCTGGTCTCAGATGTTAGAGCTCCATCGCTCCCACTCAGCCTCCTGTCCCAGAGAGCTGAGCCTAAAGCAATCAGTCAATGTGTCTCTCTCATGTCAATGTTTCTCTCTCTCTTCCTCCTTCTCTCCCTCCCACTCCATCTGAAGATAAATGCCAATATATATATGCCAAGATATATATATATCTCCTTGGATGAGGATAAAAAAATAAAATAAAAAGAAGACACGAAGAGTGCAGGATGGTTTTGGAAACAGGGCCACGATGCCACTCCAGTGTTGGTGCTTCTCAGCAATAAGGCCCCAGAGGGAAAAAGAATCAGGCCCAGGGCTCCAGGACAGGACCGTTGTGTGACGGTAAACTGACAACCCGAAAGAGCTGGCTGTCACCCACTCTGTGGGCAGCCCGAGGCTTATCAATGCTATTGCTCTCAAGAGACCAGCTCTCAGATTCATCAACTGTTGTGTCCTGCTTTCTATTTTACTGATTTCCACTGTGGGTTTTTTGTTTTTTGTTTTTTGTTTTTTTTTTTGCATTCATCTTTAGATAGAGCAGGAGGGAGAGAGGGAAGGAGAGAGAGAGAGAAACATCGATGTGTGAGTGACACATTGACTGGCTGCCACCCACACAACCCCAACCGGGGCGGGGACAAACTACAACCCAGGTACGTGCCCTTAGCGGGAACCAAACCCGGGTTCTCTCTGGTCCGCAGGCCGACGCTCTAACCGCTGAGCCAAACTGGCCAGGGCTTTTTTTTTTTAATCTTTTTTTTAATCCTTACCTGATGACATTTATCCATTTTTGTGTTCAGATAGAGTGGGAGGGAGAGAGAGAGAAAAAGAAGCATCGAAGTGAAAGGGACACATTGACTGGCTGCCACCCACACAACCCAACCAGGGCTGGGGACAAACTGCAACCGAGGTACGCACCTTTAGTGGGAACTGAACCCGGATCTCTCTGGACTGCAGGCCGACGCTCCAACCGCTGACCCAAACCGGCCAGGGCTTAATATTTTTTTTCTTTATTGAGTTTAGAGACAGAGGAAGGGAGAGGGAGAGAGAGATAGAAACATCAATGAGAGAGAACATCGACTAGCCACCTCCTCATGCCCTTCACTGGGGATCAGGTCCACAACCTGGGCATGTTGCTGTCATCGGGAATTGAACTGGTGACCTCTTGGGGCATGGGTTAATGCTCAAGCACTTAGCTACACCGGCCAGGCTCTTTTTCAGGTTTCTTAATGTGGAAGCTGAGTCATTGGTTTTCTTAACCTTCTTTCTTTCAAAAAAAAAAAATTTTTTTTTAATTGATTTTTAGAGAGACAGGAAGGGAGAGGGAGAGAGAGACAGAAACATCAATGAGAGAGAACATCAATTGGCCACCTTTTATATGCCCCCACTGGGGATTGGGCCCACAACCTGGGCAAGTGCCCTGATCAGGAATCAAACCAGCAAACTCTTGTTGCATGAGACAACCCTCAACCACTGAGCCACACTGGCCGGGCTCTTCTTTTCTAATATAGCATTCAGTACTATGAATTTCTCCTAAGTACTGCTTTAGTGGCATCCCACAGTTTGTTTGTTTTTTGGTACATGCCCCTCGCAGGAACCGAACCTGGGACTCTCTGGTCCGCAGGCCAATGCTCCATCCGCTGAGCCAAACCGGCCAGTGCGTATCCCAGTTTTGTTATGTTTTTATTTTCACTCAGTTCCAAATACTAATTTTCCTTTTGATTTCCTCTTTGACCCTGGATCAAAGTGTGTTTAATCTCCAAGTACTTGAGATTTTCCAGGAATGTTTCTGCATTGATTTTCAGTTTACTTTCATGTCAGAGGAGACACTTTGTCTTACATAAGTCCTTTTGCATTTATTGAGAATTGTGTTATGGCCCCAAATATGGTCTGTCTTGGTGAATGTTCTATTGTCCTTGAAAAAAAATGTGGATTCTTCTGTTGCTAGGTAGGGCGGTCAGTGTTAGTTGAGTCAAGTTGGTTGATATGCACCTGTCGCTGTATCATTGCTGATTTTCTGCCTACTTGTTTGATCAATTATTGAAAGAGGGGTATTGAAATCTTTAGTAGTAACTGTGAGTTTGACTATTTTTCTTTATGGTTCTATTCATTTTTACTTCATATTTTAAACAAACCTTATTAGGTTTATAAATGTTTAAGATTGTTATGTCCTCTTGACAAATTGACTCCTTTATCAACATGAAATAGCCTTC